TGGATTATATTTTTAGTCACATATTACCGAATTTTGGTCACATACACCAAATAGTTGGCCGCCACTTGCAACCACCATCACCTCGGCACCACCACAACAGTACCAATGCCACACCACCAATGAAAGCCGCCATTCCACTACCGACACCAACTGAACTCCACATAATCTCACCACCTAACACCACCATCTCCAACTGAAACACAGTCGTCGCACCACCACCTTAACAACATCGCCACTACCACCTGCAAAAACCAACCAACAAACCTCATCCCAAATCACAGCACAAACACTGCAGTCGCACTAGCATCGCCGTCAACACCACCTCAAAAACACCACCACTACCACCTGCAAAAACCATCCATAAAACCTAGTCCAAGTCACTGCATAACTATCGGCACCACACAGTCACCCCACAACCACACCAACACCACCCACGTATACACGACACAGAGAAGTCGTTCAAAATAAAACTTAGAGGGGGGAGAGGAGACACACGAGAGAGAGATAAGTGAGGAAGTTGAGAGTTAGTGATAAATTAGGGTTAGGGTTTTAATATATAGTACTTGATTTTTGAATAAATAAATTTTGGACCTGACTTTTAAAAAGTTATCTTTAAACCCCTGATTTTTTGTAATTTTCCTTTAATTTATTCAGCATTGAATTAAGGCCCTGTTTGGGAGGGATTTAGATTTTTCTACAGTAAATCAATTCTCATTTTCAACCACACATTCTTCAATAAAATAATATTTTCCATCACATCAATAATCTTATCTTCTTTTTCAACCACACATTTCCCATCATATCACTATTCAAAATCAATTCTTCCCCCAAACATCCCTCCCAAACAAGCTCTAAGAAGTTCAGTGTCACATAAATCGATGATGATATCTCCTAATAATTAGCAACATTTTGAGTGTGTTTAATTGGTTTTATTTTTCATAGAAAATATTATTTTTCCACTCAACTTCCTACTTTTAAGGTGTTAGATTGATAAAAAAAAATTCCTGAAAAATATTTTTAAATTTTTGGTCATGTGACCATATTTTTCTAGAAAACATAGATAATAATTTCTTTAGGAATGGGTAATTTTTTTTTTTCAGATAATTCACTTTCTCTTCTCCGTCCCCTCACTCAACACTCACCAATAAAAATGAACAAGTATAAAACTAAAGCCTTATTTGGTACACATTATTTTTTTCATTTTCATTATTCTACTCATCTTCAACCACACGTTTTTCAATAAAATAATATTTTCAATCACATCAATAACTTTTCCTTCATTTTAACCACATTTTCTCCATCAATCGACTATTTAATAATACATTCTTTCAAAATAATGTTTCCCAAACACATTTAATTAATAATTTCTTTACAAATTTCATGTTTCTAATCAAACGTACCCTTATTTTTTGTGAAATGCATCATCTCTTTTTTTTTTAATCAATTATCATATTCAGATTAAATCGAACGGTCAATCTGTGTCTCCAAGTACTTAGAGCATCTGATAATACTCCCTAAATATAAATTATTCAAATCTTATATTAAATTGATTGTTCATTAAAATATAAAAATATATGAGGAAAATTTGATAAATATTTATTGAAAAAAAAATCCAAAATATAAACATTATTAGTGTGTAAAGAATTTTACTACTCTCTAAAGATGCTCTGAAATTACGGAGAAAAAAACAAACCAAATATTTACTTTTGACTCCATTAATTGCAAGAGCCAAGAGGAACAATTTACATTTGAACAGCTAGTTTCCAAAATCCTTAACAGTTTTAATTAATTGAAGCAGCACTTTCAGAATAGGGATAATCAACGTACCAAATCCCATCAATCAAATCAATCAATCAATTGTTGTTTCAAGTATAAATACTTCCAAATGCATTAATCCAACGATTAAAAGCACGCCAAGTCATCTCAGATTTTGTCCTGTCAAATCATAATACATTTCCAACCAATCATTTTACACCTTTACACTATTGCATGACCAAAATATCAGTACTATCTACACTGACTACGTAGCCCTGCTTCACCTGATTGAGGATCAATAATTATAAATATTTGTACAAATTATGAAATTATTTAACTTTCTCCAAAACTTTATAAATTATTCGTAAATTGTCCAACTTTATTTTTAACAAATTTTGATAAATATTGATGAAATATGTGATTAAAAAGTTACGGGATCCATATAATATGTGATTAAAATTAATTGTTATATTTGACTTAAATTAAAATGTAGATTGTAATTTCTACCTTCTAATATGTGATGAAGTGGCTCGTTGAGCGTGTTAGCAAGTCTGCTATAATTAAAAAGACTTGAGCAAAAGTTGAATAAGCTCAGCAAATTTTTTTAGGTCATACCAATTTATCTTTTTCATTGATCACATATTATTTATTGGTCACAGTTTAACCAATTTAATTGTCACAAACGACCATATAATCTGTGACCACCATCAACTTGTGACCACTACCTCACCATTCCCTCCAGCAGCACCATTCCCATTGTCGCTGCCAGAACCACAATCACCACCAGCTCCCAACAGCAACACCACCTCAAACAAATCAACACATCACAGAAAACACCACCACATCCTCACACCAGTTCACCACCACCAATACCAAGATCCACCACCACCTCCACCAACAAAACCACTGTACACAACCACAGAACAACCATCATATTATCTCACACCATCACCACGGCCAAATCCATCACCACCAACTCTAGATCAACCATCAATAGTGCTTGATCCACCATCGCCACTAAAACTACCCAAACATCACCACACCATAGAAACCACCACCACCAACAAACAAAAATAACCAAATTTAGCGTTGCTGCCATCCTTCACGCCCAAAATATCTCAAAACCACGGCGGCACAACGTCACTGCGAGCGCAGTGGTTTTGATCGGTGACATTCGCGCAGTGGTATAGCCCCTTATGGTATCTCGTGAGGCTGCACCATATGTGGACGTGCTATATCACAACGGTGGTGAGAGGTTGAGTTGTCAGCAGAGAGGGAAGAGAAGGTTGCACCATCTGTGGAAGTGGTATCTCGCGAGGCTGCGCTATCTGTGGAGGCCCTGTATCGCGGTGATGGTGCGTGGGCTGCTGGCGAAGGCGTCGCCATTATGTATTGGTAAAGAGAGTGAGAAGAGATTACGGTGAGAAAAAAAAAGGAGGAGGATGAATATTGAAAATGGTTGCTAGGGTTTGGGGGAAATTAATTAGGATTGAGATGAAAATTGTATAATTAACATTTAATTAAACATGAAATATCTGTTTTTTGGAAAATGAAACTTGTGATCTGATTTTTGAATATGGATCTTGAAAAGTAGGGTTTTGTGTAATTTCCACATATTGGAACTTCACCAAATTCAAATCCAAATACGGGCCATTGGTTCTGGTTCAGTTACCATTCTACCCGTTACCTTTTTTAAAAAAAAAATAAATAAAACGTGAGTTGATAATACAAATTATCTTTTCAATATATAATAGAAATAGAAGAAATAAAATATATTACCAAATGCATACTTCAATTAAGGATTCAAATCCCCTTCTTGTAAAACCAAAAAGTTTTGCCTAGCTAGTGATCACGTGCCTAGCAAATGGCTAAAAACATACCAACCAAAAAAAGGATCAAGACATTTAATGGATTTTATTTGCCTCCAAGAAAAGCTACAAATCAAAAAAAACATATTAATTGTTAGCCTTAGTCGGAGGTCAAGCTCAATGTCCACTCGAAGATTCATTAATGAAAGCTTCTTAAATGAGGAGTGAGTCTTTTACTTCTCTTCAAGGCAAACTAGGTCTCGTTGACTCGTGCTTCTAACATGTTTGGGTAAAGTTTAAGCCCCCGTTTGATGGCATTAAAATGTAAAAAACTATATTCTGAATAGTATTTTTTTGAAGGATGTATGGTTAAAAAGTTTTGAATTTACGTATAAAATATTTTATTGGTTGAATGTAATTGAAAATAAGTATCAGAATTAAATTAAATTAATCTAAAGGCAAGTAAACACGGACTAAATATATGTAAAAGTTACTTTTTAGTAAATTTTTATTTTCACGTGTTCGATAAAGTATACATTTTCTTATGCAAAAGCAATTGGGACATTGATTTTCCTTCTTTTGCAAAAGAAACCAGCTTTTTTTGGCAGCTATTGATAGTGCTCAAGAAAACCCAAAAAGAAGTCACTTTTGAGGTTTTTTTTCTTTACTTTTAAACTAAACCAAACATACTCTTAGTCTCTCTCAATCTCTAATGAACCAAACTAAACTATTAGGCTTTGCACATGGCACATATAATACGATTCTAAGTCCTTACAGTTTACAAAATAAGTTAAAATTTACTTGTATAAGCCTCTATTTGAGCTCCATTTTTTCAAATTATAATAGAGAAATAATTATTATTTGGAAAATGTGTGATTAAAAAAGAAAGAATTTTTTTTAAATTTACGTTCAATATTATTTTGTTGAAAATATGTAATTGAAAAAATAAATAATAATAAAAATTTAATTTAATAAACAGTAATGTTTTGAAGGTTAGGCAAACATGCACCGTCTTTCTCACATCGAATCTTGAAAACGACAGAAAGTAATGGAGTTTTCAAGCTTTAAAATAAAGTGAGAACCCCACTGTCTAGGTAATTGAAAGCCACTGCACAGCAATCCATAGACAGTCCACTTTTCCAGGTCAATTTGTTTATTTTTGTTATTTTTATAGTTGAACACATTTATCCATAGACCAAACCCCACTTGGGATTTCTCCTCAAAAACAAGTGCATACATTAAAATATTAAGCACCATCAGCAAATTGTGAAAGATAATTTGTACAATAATAGAAAGACCAATAATAGAAAGACCACCCCCCAAAAATCTACCTTAGAAAAACTTTAAAAGCAAATTACACCCCCCCAAAAAGAAAAAATTAACACCAAGTGCCAAAGCTAGAAGGATAAGAAAAACACTCAATTCCATAGGGTACCCTTAAATGCTAAGAAGATCTGGTGGTGGTGATTGTGGTGGTTGAGTTTGAGGCTGATGGTCTTTTGTGTCCTTTGGTGACTCTAAAGTCGACAACGGTGGTGGAGGGGAAACAGTGGTGGCTGAGTTTTCCGGTTTGCTGCTTGGCGGTTTAGGAAGCTCAGAGAGTATCTGTACAACTTCACGCATGGTGGGTCGTTCAACAGCCTGTTCTTCGACACACAGCATTGCAACGTAGAATACATGCATCACCTCGTGAAGGGGAACTGTAGGTAGTCTCGGGTCGAGGATTTTGAGCACCCCTTCCTTGTTGCCGTCCGTCATTTTCCTTACCCATTGCACTATGTCGACACCATCGCCAAACTCCCCAACTGGTTTTCGACCAGTTACTAGTTCTAAGAGAACTACACCAAAGCTGTACACATCGCTCTTCTCATCAACCTTGAGTGTGTAGGCGTACTCTGAGAGATTAATAATAAGTCAAGAAGATTTCAGTAAATTGCAGAAGAGTTCTTCATGATCATTAAATACTGATTGAAGACTGCTACATGCAGAAACAACAAAAGAACATATTTTTGGGAACCATATTAAGTACAGATTGAAGATATAATCACATTAATTAAAGGCTCAGTCAAATGCCCATTTATTCAGAAGAGTAGCCCACCATTTGGAAACAACAGTGGCTTTGAATTTTGCCATTGAAAGTTTGTAAATACTCCATAAGTCCCATCTAGATTGGTAACAGAGTAGCTCGATCTTGATGGTTCAAACATGCGTTCATGATATCTACATTTGACCATGCCCAGTTGAAACTGATGGGAATTTTTTTTCTCTTTTTTTTTTCTTTTTTTAAGACTGCTAGAGAAAGACTACATTCGTGTTGACCTGACTCTAATCTAAAATGGTAGTTGAATCATGAATGCAAATGACTATGAAAGAGAATGATAGTTACAAATTAACATATTTACCACTTCTACAATTATTGTGTTTAACAGGATCAAACACGCGTCAATCAAGACAAGAAAACAAAGAAATTATCTACCTAATTAAACATTATTACCAGTCAAAAGTTGATGACTCCAGTATCATTGACAGATTAAGGAATGCAAACGCCAAACATGTCACTATCACCAAATAGCAATATAGCATTAGATTCACACACTTCTAACTATTTCAAAACTTGAATTATAGTTCCATACCTGGAGCAATATACCCATAAGAACCGGCAATGGCCGACATGCACTCTGATGTTCCTGAATCTTGCAAGAACTTGGCTAGTCCAAAATCAGCTACATGAGCTTCAAAGCTTGAATCGAGCAAGATATTGTTTGATTTAACATCACGATGAACAATCAACGGTGAGCAATCATGATGAAGATAACAAAGGCCTTTTGCAGCCTCCATAGCTATCTTGTACCTTGTATCCCAATGCAAATGACCTCCTTTCTTGCTATGAAGCATTTCTCCCAAGCTCCCGTTCGGCATGTATTCATAAACCAAAAGATTTGTTTCATGATTTGAACAGAAACCCAATAATCTAACAATGTGCCTGTGCCTAATCCTCCCTAGAGTCTGTATCTCAGCATTGAACCCGTGATCATGTGAGGAACCACGGCTCATCGCCGGTAACCTTTTTACAGCAACCTCTTCGCCATTCGACATTACCCCCTTGTAAACAATACCAGCACCTCCTTTCCCAATAATATTATCCTCCTTCAAGCAATCCAAAACGTCATCACTAGTAAAATCCAAGCGCTGGAAAGCAGTAAGCTTCCAGGCTCGGGCTTCGCTAGCCTTTTTCAATGATCGGGCCTTGATAATTGCTGCCACAGCAAACACAATTGAACAAACAAGCAACCCAATTACAAGCAAAAGCTTCATGGAAGGAGAGAAAGTCCCCTTCTCATGTGGCCTTTGGACTCCATTAACAATGCCGGCCTTGCAAGGTCCCAAATATGGGCCACAAAGATCCGGATTACCCAAAAACGAAGTGTAGTTGAAGTAACTGAACTGACCAGTTCCAGGAACCAAACCAGACAAATTGTTATACGAAAAATCAACTGCAGTTAAACTTTGCATACTAGATATTGATGCAGGAATGCTCCCAACCAAATGATTTCTCGATAAATTCAAATAGTTCAAAATCCTCATAGTAGTTAGCTCAGTTGGTATATCACCTGAAAGTTGGTTCCGGCTGAGATCAACAAAGGTCAAGACCTTACACTGACTTATCTGCGGAGCGATAGGGCCTGAAAAACTGTTGTGGCTGAAATCCATCTTTGACAGCTGCTGCAATTTCCCAATTTCGGCCGGAATCTGACCAGAAAACTTGTTGCCATCAAGCAAAAGCTTTTGAATACCGGCAAAGTTCCCAATACTCGGGGGCAAAGGTCCGGTGAGATGATTGTTGGATAGACTAATTTGCCCAAGACTCATGGACAATTTTTCAGTCACTGGAAATGTACCAGATAAAAGATTATCTTGAAGCTCAACCTGAGTTAGCATAGGCAAGCTCAAGAGCCCTCTTGGAATGGACCCATTGAGATAGTTCTCACCCATCCGAACTCGACTCAGTGACTCGCACTGACCCAATGAATCCGGGATCGGACCAAACAGGAAGTTCCCTAATGTAATCAATATTTGAAGCTTATTGCCAAAACACAAGTTGGGTGGCAAATTTCCAGTTAGTTTGTTCGAACTAACATCTACTTCTTGCATATTCCCATTGGTGCCTAGATTCTGAGGGATGCTTCCAGTGAAGTTGTTTTCCCATAGCTGCAACACCTCCAGCTCCGGTAACTCCCCGATGAACTCCGGTATTGACCCGGTGAGCTTATTCCTGAAAAGATTTAAGAGAGTCAGATTTTTCAGCTGGGCAAATGCCGGTGGTATTTCACCGGAAAGCATGTTGTTCGACAGATCCATTGATTTCAAGCTCTTCAAATCCCCAATTTCGGGAGTCAAGGGCCCCGAAAGAACATTCACTTGAAGAAATAGTGTGTCCAGATTCTGTAACCTCCCAATTTCTGCCGGAATCGAACCTGAAAGTGCACAGTTGGCGGCATCAAATCTTACTAACTGGGACAAATTTCCGATTTCTTTGGGCAAACCACCAGAAAATGTGTTGTAGTACCCAATATAGAGCTCCTTAAGCCGAGTCAGGTTCCCGAGCTCTTTTGGGATTTCTCCGGTGAGCTCGTTGCCGGAAACTGCGAGATATTCGAGATTAGGGAATGTGCCGTACTCTGGCGGGATCCGGCCCGAGAAGAAATTTCCTCCAAGATGTAAATGGCGAAGATTAGTGAGTAAAGACACTTCAGTTGGAATGACATCCGTCATATTATTGTTGTAAACGTCAAGAACTTGCAGGTTTTTCAAGCGGGAGAGCTCTTTGGGGAATCTAAGGTTGAAGTTATTGTTGGAGAGATTAAGGTAGCGGAGGTTCCAAATGTTGGAGATTTCAGGAGGGATAGGACCAGAGAGGCTATTATTGGCGGTGTTGAGGTTGAGGAGGAACCGTAGGTGGCCAACGTCCGAGGAGAGGGTTCCGGTGAGGCCCAGGTTAGATATATCAACAGCGGTAACATGGCGGCCGGAGGCATCGCAAATGACGCCTTTCCAAGTGCAATGGCTGGTGGAAGTGTTCCAGGAGGACAAAGCCGACAGTGGGTCATCAGTGATAGCGGATTTGATCGAGAGTAGGGCAGCAGACTCCGTCATGCGCGGTGGTCTTGCGGCGGTGGAACGGTGGAGCTGGAAGAGCAGGAAAAGTAGGAGAAGGACACGCATTTTTTTTTTTTTAAATTTTCCCTTTAGTTTTGTATTTTTCTGTGTGAGCTCGTCTGTGGTGTTTTTCTCTCTCTTTGTAGGTGTTTTTTTGGAGAGTGAGTGAAGTGAGGTGGGAAAAGAAGCAAAGTGTGGGGTAAAAGTGAGAGAGTTTATCGAGTCTTAAGGGACTTTGCCACTTCGCTGGGACGAAAATTTAAGGGAAAAGGAAGCGAGGAAGGAAAATTAGAAAAATGGACATTCCACTTGTTTTTAGCTTTGTTTGATAATCATTATTTTTAAAACACATTTTTTTCTCTCTTTTTCAATCTAACAATGCTACGAGTGCAGGAAGAGTTTACAGAATTTTAACAGGAAATACACTTGGCAAGTTAGCATTGGAAGAAAAAAAGGAAAAAAAAAAAGCTAATAGGGCGCTGCTACGTCAGCACCCTGTTCACCCTGTTCAATATCTGTTAAAAATTCATGTACGTGCAGCTTTATTGTTTTTAATCACACATTTTTCAATAAAATAATATTACACTCAAAATCAAAATTTTTCTTATTTTTCAACCACACATTCTTCATCAATTTGTTATTGCAAAAAAATATTCTTAAAAAAAAAAAACACATTTTGTGGGATCTATTCAATATAGTTTCCTTATAATGAAGGTTAGGTGTCCAACACGAAAGAAACATGCAATTAAGTGACCTCTAACAAACTTTCTCGGTGGAAATTAGAAGAGATCCATCACTTGCTTGTAGCTTGGAGGAAATATCTTATTTGGATAATTCAATTGATCTGTAGTGCTGTGATCGCAACTATATATTAACGTGGGACTACTATCACGTTGTTCAATAAATAAATGTGCATTCCAACTTCATTGAATAATGTAACTAGAGTCCTATTGCTAGGGCTGTAAATGGATCGGATCTACCTATATCTGATCCGATTCGATCCGATAATCCAACGGTTATTTGATTATTATATCTATATCGATTTGTTATATTATCGGATATCCGATCTTATAATCCGATCCGAAATTAATAAAAATTAGGAAAAAAATCAATGTCCTTTAAATTTTTTTGACTAATTTGAGGCCCACATGTTTTTACTAGCAAACCCAATAGTGACTTCTACTATCATAATGTTCCTCTTTAAAGGATAAATTATCTTCTAGTTTTCTATTAACATTCGATGTGGGATAAGATAAAATTGAATTTCAATTCTAAATATAAATAGTTTATTTCATTATTTCCATTAACAAATCAAATTATTTATTACATATTAATTATTAGTTTTTGAAGTTGTAAAATAAATTACAATAATAAATTTAATTATGAAAAATATAGATATTTATTTACTTTAAATTAGTAAACTAAAATTTAAAAAAAAAATCTATTGTTTTTATAATATTTTGCATTTATGTGTATAGTTATTTATTTTCAATTTGACAACCAGTTCGATACCAATTTGATCCCGATTCGACTTTTTGACCATTGACCCTCTTCCTTTTTCAGGTTGATGTCCGAATCGATTTTTAAAACATTGGTTGAAATCAATTTTTTTTTTTTCAAATTTTTCAATTCTTAAACAGGTTTAATAATTATAAAATTTTCAACTTTTTTATAGTTTAAATATGATTACTTTTTATTATAAATTTATTTATTTTCTCATTTATTTATTTTAGTGACAAATAATATGGCATAAAAATATTTTACCGGTTCAATTATTTATAACAAATCGGATCGGATTAACCTATATCCATATTTGATCCATTTAGTTAACAGATTATCGGATTCAAATCTTGATCGTGTTATCAGATTGAGACTTTAAATCTATCTTCCATTAATTTCTTCGGATTCGGATCAAAATTCAATCAATTGATAGCCATACCTACTACACAAGCTGCTTATCACTCATATTCTATTATAATCTATACGATAGCATTACTGATTTCATTTTAAAACAAATATTTATTTTTGCATAGTTTTCATCCACTATACCGAGCGGGGAATACAATTTATTTCTTTATTTAAATAATAAAGGAAATTATGAGAATAAAAATATATATTAAGCTCCTATTTTGTAGAGATTTTTTTAGAATAAATTTTGTAAAAATTGATTATTTTGAAGAATATGCAATAAAAGGTAAGGAAACATTATAGATTCACGTTCAAAATTATTTTATAGGAAAATGTGTAATTGAAAATAAATTTTATAAATCTAGGACCGAAGAAGAGTTAAAAATTATATATATATATATATATATATAAACCTGGAGACAGAGGAGGGGACACGGTTGAAACCAGGGAAAAGAAGAAAGAAGAAAAAGAATGAAAAAGCTGCTAGAAGAAAAAGAAAAAAAAAAGAAGAAAAGAAGAGAAAAGAAAAAGTCAATAGAGAAAGAAAAAGGCGTAGAGAGAAGGAAAAGGGAAGGAAATTGCAAATAACAGAAATTTTCACGTTTCTTTAATTTTTGGTGATATCTTTCCACTTTTACGCGTTTTTATTTTTTCAATATGAATAACTAATTTTTATATTAGAGAAAACAATGTAGTCGACTTGTGATCCTTTATTTTTCTATTCAAGATTTATATGATTTATTCTTATGTGTGTTGGTTTTAGTGTGAGTTTAATGTATTGAATTACTTGATCACTAATTTGATGATTATGTGAGTTTTTTACGAATCGAGAGGTGAGTTTGAGATTTAGACTAGATAGTAAAATTCGATAAATTAGTATAACGCGTAGAGATACATATACTAATTATTGTAGTCATAATATGAATTCTTATAACCAGTGTTTTGTTTAATCAAAGTTGGTTCACATACAGATATGTAATTTAATTAGTTAAATAGGTTCAACGAGTACTCGAGATGTGTAAATTAAATACAATAGAAGAATTCGATCGAACACTACATTAGATTATGAATCCTGAATTAAGAATTAAAGTGATCAATAAATGAAATTGTTATGCCTTAATATTTATCACATATTTGAATCTTCAATCAACCGTTGTTGCAATCTTTTTATATTTTCAATTAGTTAAAAGTAGTTAGGAAAAATAATCGCAACCATCATAATTATTTACTTGCTTTTATCAAATATGAGTTAGAAAATTTTGATTAAGTTCTGAAGTATAGTTTTCGTGAGAACGATATCCGAATTCAACGGTCCACTATACTGCTTGTTACGATATCGTACACTTGCGATATAAAAAATGCAATATCTGCTGAATATTGTAGCCCACTACCTTATGAGCATATGAGGTAGCCATATTTGGAAGCCTAAACGATGGTGTTAAATGTTTCAATATCGACACAACTTATACCAAGATCATGGTTTACTCACTAAACTTTATAGTGCTTTACAGTGCTCACTAAACTCAGTCCATTTGCACTCCATCCACTGTCTGTCAAATTTCATTTTTCTTATCGTCGACGTATCAAATGGAAATTCCNAAAAAAAAAACCAAAAAATCCGAGCCGGCTCGGCCCGCTAAGGCTCCGGCCAAAAAAAGAGAGGCTCGAGCCAAAAGCTCGGGCCGAGCCTCTCTCTTTTTGGCCGGGCCCCGCTCGGCTCGGGCCGAAAAAAGCTCGGGCTCGGCCCGAGCTTTTTTTTCCAGGCTCGGGCTCGGCTCGGCTCGTTGCCACCGCTAACTGCTGCAGTGAACGACTGCAAGTAGCATTACTAAAAAAAAAGTCAGTGTAACAGCAACAATAATGCTTCGTTAGGATAAAGCTGGTCAAATAAGGTTGACTGACATGGAGACACGCGATAAGTGCCGCTTTTGCAGTACCCCACATCCCAACGTTTTGTAATTTGTAATTATTTGCCCAAAACTTTTACTTCATTATCAATTATACCCTCTTAATCTCTTCAAAATTACATTGCATAACCTCGACAATATGTTCAAAACGCATTATTGGATGTTTAAAAGTTTTTCTTTATTCTATATCATGAAACAAGCCATAAAAGAATATGTAGGATAAAAAAAATATTTAATCTATCTAAATATTAGACATCGACGGCAGTTTTATGTTATCAAGTCCTTACAAGATAGAGCTTTCATTCGAAATTCTGATATCGAGGACATAAATGAGTACATTGCGCTAATTGTAATTGCAGTCTCTTTTAAAGTTATGCAATAACTATTAAAATTGCCAACACATAAATGATTGCGCGCAAAATAATAGTCAATTGCTATACGCTGCTCGTGGAAGTGGAACACTGAATTGACATGTAGATATATGTCGTGGAGGTTGTCACAAAAAATAACGTGGCGCTAAAGTAATAGAATGTGAAGATCTTGCGAGCAAGAGGCTAGTGTTCAATAGACAAATGTAACCTGAAGTTCATGTACGATCATCATGGTTGCCATCAAAATTAGCATTATAAAACGCTGAGAAGTAAAAACCACAATTTTACCTTAAAAACAAGCCACGATTATGGTATGTATTAAATAATGAAGCACATGCTTGGCAGCTATATAGTGTTGGGCATATGGTTGATACGTAAAATGAGAAAGTTTATTTACTGCAAATGAGACGTCAGTCAAGTGAGAGACATTATAGAGCACCAACTGTTTTTGAACAACATTTCAACAATCCCCCACTTGTTCAAAATTTAATAAAATATCATATTCAAAATATATAATACTTATGTGTAAGGATTATATATCTTTCGATTCGAATCTAACCATAGTGTAATTCAAACAAAGTAAAGTTGAAATTAAAGGTAGCATGGAAGCTTTGAACCAATGATTTCATATGACAATACCGGTAAGAACACACACACAAGTATCACGTGTTCTCAAGTTTCTCAATCTCAATTAGCGCTAATATGACCTTGCGTTCATCCTTTCAATAACTCTCTATTGAGGCGACACCACCTCAAAATTTATCTAGGTGAAATTCTTTCAGTATCTTTGTTACTTTTTAGATATACTTGTACTTAATACTGAACTTCATTAAGAGCTTAACGCTCAACCCTCACTTCAGTAACAACCAGCATTATTTAA